GGTCTATCTGAAGGGGCCACAAGAGGCTGTTGCCTTGGAGGATGCGCGACCACGTGATGTTGGGGCTGCTGCCATTGTGTCTGCACGGGAGGTGGACCTCGTCCCCCACACTCACCGTCACCGATGGTGGGCCCCAGTCCACCCACAGGGCCTGGCACCCAGGGCCTGCGGAGGCAGATGGGTCAGGGACTGTGAATAGGGACACAGGCCCAGCCTGGCCCCTGCAGCTGCAGTTCTCTTGGCTGTGTGTGCATGGAGGGGGTGGGATGTGGGGGGAGTGAGTGACACACCCCTGGGGGTCCCCTCTCTCCTTTCCAGAGCTACCACCTGCCACCCTTTCCACACTCGCTGTGCTTTGTCCCCACTGAACTCACTGGCACTAGACGTGTCCCTACCCAGCCAGCTCCTTCCAGAACCAGTTTGGGCATCACCTCCTCCAGAAGGCCTTCCTGGTTTACTTTCCCACCCCAGCCCCAGCCTGGCCCCACACCTGGCACTTGATGTACTTTGTATAATCGTTACAGAACCCTTAGAAGTCAGTTGTCTCATTATTCCACTTTACCAGTGGGAGAGCTGAGGCCTAGGGCAGCAGGAGTTGCTCGGGGGTTGGAATCCTGGCCCCCCTGCCCCTGGGCCTCTTGCTGCCAGTCTGGGGGCCTGCCTTGCCCTGTGAGCCTGGGCCTGCCCCTCACTCCCTCGTTCTCTGTAACTCGCATGTGTGGAGCTTGGGGCCCAGTGAGTTCAGCTTGTGGGCTGGGCTGGGGGTTAGCTGAGGGCCTCAGCAAGGTGATTGGCGACAGGGAGCTGGGGTGGCCCAGGCTGGCTGCTCCAGGAAGCCCCAGCTCTCGGCTGCCCCCTCCAGGACAGTCCACATGGCTGGCTCTGCCTCTTCTGGAGGGAGGAGGAGAGAGGTAAGGAAGAAAGAAAAAGGAAGAGGTGGGGAAAGAGGTAGCAACCTCAGGGTCATGGACTCCAATCCCCTCCCAGTGGAACTTGGGGTAACTGGCCAGCTCTCTCAACTCGGTCAAACAGGGTGGTTGCAGCCCTGCCAGCTGGCATTGCACATGAGGGAGGGGAAGAGGGCAGTTCAGCCCCTCCTCCAGCACCGAGAAGGGGCTCCCTATGTAGGGGCTGGGGACTGTGATTCAAGGCAGAGAAGGAGAAAGCTTTTTCTCCCCCTGAAGCTGAGCGCTACTCACAGTCCCCTTCCTGCCCCTAGCTCTGGAGCTCAGCCAAGGGCAACCTTAGTTCCTTATTTTGATCTAGGGGGATGAGGGGGTGGGGAAGGTATCCCTTGCCTTTGCCTCCCTACACAGGGGACGCCCCTTCAACTTTGCTGAGCCCCTGCTGGACAGTCAAGCAGACAGATGCAGTTTCTACGGGGTCTTTTCCAGCCCGCCTCCTGCCAGCTCCTCTCCTGCCCACCCCACCCCCATCCCGGCACCCTTCCCACCACCTGCGCCCTCTCAAGAGCCTCCCAGTTCCCCCCAGCACCTGCCTTTTAGCCACGTACCCAGGCTGGCAGCGGAGATCAAGAAGAGGAGGAAAGTGGTGACAGGTGAGGTGTGGAAAGCTGTGGAACCCCCAGGCATCTTCTCCTAGTGAGTTGGTTAGTCTGGGTGGCAGCCAAACTGGGGTACCAGATCCCACCTCGGCCGAGCCCCAAGCCCCGCCCCACTTCCTGCCAAGCCCTGCGGAGATGGGCTCCACTGGCCCCACTGCTGGGCCCTCCGGCTGTTGGGCGGGGGGCAGCCCCTGTCCGAAGTCTTCAAGCTGAGAGTGGAGAGGAACCGCTCCCTGCACCTGTGGCCACCGCAATTCCCCTGAGAGAAGTGTGCTTGGGTGGGGGAAAGAGGTTGGTTCAAGGCCTGGCTCGTCACTGGAAAGGAAGTCTGAGCCAGATTTTGGAGTGCCTGCCATATGCAGGGGGAGCAGCAGGTGTGTGTGTATGTGTTTGTGTGTGTGTGTGTGTGTGTGTGTGTGTGTGATCCTGAATTTGGTCTCTGCCCCTCACTGGCCTTGGGTAAAACTTGTCCTCTCTCTGTGTCTTCACTTCTTGGGGTAGGAAAAGCGAACTTTAAGAGGTTGTGCATGCAGAGCACTGAGCACAGGGCCTGGCACATAGTAGGTGCTCAGTAAATGTTGGTTCCTATTAATGTTCATGAGGAGTAAGTGAGGCAGGTCCACCAGCTTGGTGACTAGGTGGTGGCTTCCCTTTTTGAGCCTAGGCATTTTTAATCCAAACGATGAGGATAAAAATATCTCCCTGCTGTTGTGACATGAATTATGTTCCCGGTACCCAGGGTCACGATGGGCTCTTTCCTGACAGCCTTTCAGCCCCACTCCAAGCAGGTAGGGTAGTCCACCCCCCATTTTATAGATGAGGAAACTGATGCCGTCACAGAGAGGGGACGCTATCACTGTCACTTGTCCAGCATTCAGTCTGGTGGTGGAGCAGGGATTCCAAGTCATTGATGTATGCCCGGGTTCCTCTGAGCATCATTTCAGGTCATGTGGGAGAGAAATGGGGCCTGAGGGGTGGGGGAGGAGAATGACATGAAATTGTTGAGAAGTCTATGAGCAGTTAGGGGACCATCTCACACACACACAAGGAGACACCTAGAAGAAAATTCATGGCAGGGAGATCTTTGGTAGGAAAAATGAGGAAACACGGAAAGCCCACTTACAGAAAGGATGGATACATTAAGGCAGAGTCAGCCAATGGAGTAGCACACGGCCGGAGAAGAGGCTGCGCTTACTTGTCAACCAGGCTGCATCTCAGAAACAAGAAAATGAGAAGAAACGTACTAGGGCAGGATCTGGCTGACTTGTTTTCAAAAGGCAAAACATCATGTGCCGTTAGGGACACATGTGTCTGCAGAAAAGGTGCAAACCCGTGCAGGGGAGTGACACCCCATGCCTGAGAGGGGTTACCTCTAGGGGAAGCGAGGTGGTTGCGGCTGGGAAGGGTATGCAGAGGGCTTGGTCTGTCTTAGTTTTATTCTTACTTCTTAAGCTGAGTGGTGGCCTCATGGGTCTGTGTTACACTATTATGTACGCTGTTTTGCATGCTTGATATATTTCGTATTTTTAAAAAAGGGCAACTGTCATCCACACAGAACATGGGCCTCAAGAATTCACACTTCTGGGTTTGAATCTCAGCTCTGCCAAATGCCTGGCTGTCTCAGCCTCAGTTTCTCCTCCTGTAATCTGGGCACAATGTCCAGCACCACCTCCCAGAACCCCACTTGTGAGGCTGTAAGAATATCACAGTGTGCTTAGCACAGTTCCTAGGACACAGTTCTTCTCTGGCCCCCAGGCCCTCCCCTCTTCCCTCCAGGGACCCAGGTGTCTGTTCTGTTGGGCCCCTCGCTGTATAGCAGGTCATTAGCCCCTCTGTGCTTCAGTTCCTCCTTATGACTCCCATCTAGGAAGAAGCCTAGGTCCAGAAGCTGCAGCCTTTAGGAATTCAGCTGTCAGAGCATCCTTCCGGCTCAGCCGGTTTCCAGGCCCTCAACTGCCCCCCAGTGGCTGGATTGGCACGGCTGCCGCATTGCAGGCCCTCTCAGCCCACTGGTCTGTCTGGGCACCTCCACCTCCCGCTGACCCAGCACCCCTGGTGTCTGGCGCTGTACGAGTGAACCATTCTCAGGACGGCTTGGGATTGCATTTTTCAGGACAACTCACCGTCAATCGGCAAAAGAGGAAACTTAAGACCAAAACAGAGAGTGAGTGGCTCAAGGCCATGCCCAGGAGTATAACTCTTTGGGCCTCATTTTCCCTTTTCCTTCACTTTTGAGAACAATGCCCTGCAATGGCTAGAGCCTGGGGCCGGAGGCAGGTTGCCTGGGTCCAAATGCTGGCTTTGCCACCTCCTAGCTGTGGAGTATCAGGCAAATTACCCAACCTGGACTTACTTTCATCTCCAAACTGCGGGTGCTTTTCGGCACCTACCTCAGTGTATTAAATGGTATATTGATAAAGTACCTTGCATGGGTAGGCTATAGTGTTTATTCAGTGCAAATCTTCCAGCACTAGCAACCTCTGAGCTGGGAGGTCTGACCGGGTGTAGGACTCAGATCATCTTTCCATTTGTGCATCTCCCCGAATCCCGCAGGCAGGAGAAAGCTGCTTTAGACAGGAGCGGAGGGCTCAGCGGATAAGCTGCTCACTGTGGCACAGGATTAGGGGCAGTGTTGGAATTTGAACCTGTCATTTTGAGTCCAAAGCCAGGTGTGGCACTGTAAGGAAATAGGTGTGACCTGAGGAATTACTTGGGATGCGGGAACTTTGGGGGTCTTCGCCTAGCCAGCTCAGGCTCGGCACCTGTTTTCTTAACTGGGATTGGGTTCTGGTCACACGGGGCGGTAGGGGGTTCCTTTCTAAAGCTCGGCACGTGCCTGGGGGGCACCCTTCCGTATCTCCTGCCCTCCGACCAGGTGTCCAATCACTGGATGAGCTCCCGCCCAACTGGCGCGAAGAACCAATCACCATACAGCAACATGGAGGTGGTGCTCTGAGGGTCCTGGGAGCTCAGCCTGTGCGCAGGCGCCATGCGCATCCCTCCCCTGAGGCAGAAGCAGCGACCCCGCCCCAGACCACACCTTCAGCACTGCATCCCAAACCCTGGGGCTGTAGGGCTAACTTCATCTTAGCAGGACCTACGGCCACCGAGATCCCCAAAGTGAGGGCTCCTGTGTCAGCCAGGGAAGGGAGGTGCAGAGGCCACCTTGAGAGATGAGCACTCACAGGGCCACTGGCTGTGAGGGCTGTCAGTCCTTGTCCACCTCTTTCCAGGGAAGAAGCACCCGAGCCCCAGGCCCCTTCTGCTTTGCTCCAGCAGGGCCCAAGGGCCCAGCTGAGGCCACTGCTTGAACTTTCAGTTTCCTATTTTCTGAGAATTGCAAAGGCAGGTTGTGGGGGAGGCACAAAGGCCCCTGGGTATTGCACCATCACCTTGCCCTCTGGGGACACAACTGTTTGAACCCAAAAGGCCAGGCCTCAAGTTTCTGGGCCTATTGAGCTCCACAGCCATCCAGGAACCCCCTGGCCCCTCTTTCCAAGCTGAAGTGCAGTGCTCCTTCCTCATGAGAGATCAAGAGACCCAGACCAGGATTACGAATGAGGCAATTTATTAACCCAGCATCATTTTGTTCTAATGCTTCTTGTTGGCAGCTGCCACCTGTGGGAAAAGATGGACAAAGAATTAAGATTGGTTGTGGGGTCTGTGCTCAGGGACTTCACAGTAGCTTCCCATACCGGTAGGACACCAGGCATCCTGATTTTGTGGTTTCATATGTATTTCTCTCACCCAATCCTCACAATCCTGGGTTAACTGGGGTTCAAGGAAAGGGAGTGTTGGGAGTGGGACTCTCCAACGTCTGCCACTACCCTGAGCCCTTGACAGTCATGTTTGTGCTAGGTCCTGCTCCGCCCTGAAGAGCCACCTTCTCCTTCCAGGCCACACCTAACTCCCAGAAGGCTGACACTTTCCAGTCTTTTCTGACACTTGACTAAGTGACTAAACACTCCAAGGCTCCTGGAAGGCCTGAGTCAATGATACAGAGAGAAAACCAACAATGGGTTCATGTCAGGCCCTGGGGGCTCTCGCCGTAGCTCACTGAATCCTCCTCACCACCCACACAGGTAGGTGCGAGCAGATCACTCCACAGACAGGGAGACTGGCTCCAGGTGAAGGGACTCTGGCCCAGGGTGTTTAGTCAAGTCAGTATCTGGATGAAGAACTGAGTTCTGAGCCACCTCATGTGATGCTCAGTAAGCATGAAAAATAAGGAAACACTGCAGCTAGAATCTTTTAAGAAGGCTGACTCGGGGAGACGGAGTTGTGTGTGGGATCAGCCCTGCAGAATCAAGTCCAGCTGGCTGCACCCTGCGCCTGGGTTCCCTTCACTGGGGCACCTGTATTTCCAAGCAGCTCCAGCAGGAAATCAGAAACGTTCTTTCTCCTCCAGGGGAGGAAACTCTGATGTGACAAAACCCAGGCTCCAAACACCCAGGCAGTGCCTGAGGTACCCGGCCCTCACCTGTCCAGCGATTCTGTCCAGATCTCTCTGTCCCTGAGGTGTCAGTTTGCGGCCCCTGTGGGAGAGAACAGTCATGCAGCCACAGGTGACCACAGGCTCTCAGTGTCCCTGGTGGTCCTTGCCAGACCTCTCCTGGACATCAGCCAGGTTTCCCAAGAAAGGACCTGGCCATAGGACCACATGACGCCAGCCAAGTCCCACAGAGGTTCCCAGTCTGCTGAATTCTAATGAGCTGGGGGCAGGAGTGGGTGCAGCGCTGGGAGCTGACAGGGTGTCGTTTGTGCAAGCATTAGATCAAAAGCCCCGAAAAATCAATTGGGAAAAGTTAACGAGCAGGCTAATGAAAGCAGACAGTCGCTAAATTACCTTCCTGGAGCCCAGAGTAGTCAGCCAGAGGTCGGGGTTAGGCCCCTCGCTGTTTGCCACCCGCCTGAGGGGCAGGTGCAGACTGTGCAGGACAGACCTGGCCCTTCTCTGCCTGGGGGGAGTGGGATGGCCCTCAACCACTTCATTACAGGGGATCTGGCCCCAAGGCTCCTCCATCACCCCACACCCCCAGCTTCCCCTCCCTTGCTTACCCATCTTGGTCCTTTTCCACCATTTTCAGTCCCTCCAGGGCTTGGAGGACCCGGCGGGCCACGCTCTTGGAGCCTCTGCTAAAGTGGCTAGGCATGACGCCGTTTCTCTGACGCCCCCCGTAGATCTTGGTCATGGAGCCGACCCCAGCGCCGCCCCGGAGGTACAGGTGCCGTGCGGTGGAAGCTGGGTGGGATGTAAGAAGACTTGAGGATCCTTCTCAGTTAGAGAAGATGTCTCTCCACAGCCAAGGCAGCCTGAGGACCTTACTCAGGGTCGCACATATATAATTCTGTGTGTGGCAGGGCATTCTCACCACTTTACTCAGGGAAATGGGGAATACACACCAAGTCCTAGTACCTGCCACCCAGCCCCAGCCCAGGGGACTGGGGTGCACAGGTAGTGGAGGGACAGCTACAGCTGTGACAGGGCAGGAAACCCGCCTCCCTAGCGACCTTCTCAGTTCTTACTGTCCTAGCAGAGCTGCTGGGAGCTCTGTGGGTGGAGTCCAGCAAATATTTAAGCTGTGACTATCCACCTCCATCTGCCTGGGGGCTCTGAAGGGCAGAGTTTGAGAAGGGCCCCACCACCACTTGGAAAGCTGGGGCAGGTCTGACACCCTGTGCAGTGATGTGCCTAACCTGGAAGGTGCATCACCCCCCACTGCGGACTGGGGTTCTTGCCCCTACACTGGCTTGGGCAAGTCCCTCGCCACGCCGGCCAGCCTCCATGGAAAATCCTCTCCTGTTCACTGATTCCTGTTCACTTCACTGAAACTGGTCTGCCAGGCTGTGCGCTATGCTCCTTTACAGCTAGGGTACTTGCTGGCCTCATGTCACACAGCTGTGGAGGGACAGATAGTCCCTCCAGATAGGTCTGGTTTTCTGCTTCAGGGGGCCACTGGGGTTTGAAGGGACTCCAGGTCACCCCAGAGACTAGCACATTAGATTCCACCCAAGCGACAACTTAGTCCTAAAGATCAGAGAGGAATCAAGGATTCATTCCTTCAAAAATGACTTACTGCTAAGGGCCGGCCACCAGGCCATGTCCACAACCCTTCAGTGTTATGAGCTGGGGGGTAGGTGGAAGCGGCACCAGGTGAGATGCCCCCCACCCCGAAGTTCCTCCACACAACTTGTTCTCAGCACCCCCTTGCCCTCCAGATACAGCCACAGGATTCAGGGCCCTGCAGCAGAGCCCAAACCCCATCCCCGCTCCAGGACCACTGAGCAGCCTCTTCCTGTTATCACCGCCTCAGGCCTCTACTCAATTTTATTTTTTAAATTTATTTATTTATCAATATTCAACAAGTGCTTTACTATGAAAGTAACTTTCTCAATCAATG